TGTTTCTACCACTTGTCATAGACCAACCCCTATCCCGCCACCTCTCATCCCATCCTCAACTACTCCCGCCATTCATTCCTTAACCTTCCTAACCCTTCTTCTCCATCCCTCCTTACAGTCCTCACTCACTCCTCACTTGTAACACAATATGTTGATAAATTTGTTCAAAAATATTACACATAACTAATAAAATTTTTGAATTTTTTCTTATTTGTAAATAATATGTAATAGTAGAATTTTAGTATTTCAAACAAAACTCACTAAAACAATAACATTCATTTTTTTACTAGTATTTTTGGGCAAAATGTTGTTAGTCAATGCACCAAGTGCATTGCTTTGTATTAAGATTCTGGTGAAAATAATTTATGAATAGGTAGGAGTTTTAAAAAAGTGATGTTTTAGTTAAGTTCCATCTTAATCAATTAAGAACTAAACAAGTTTAATTTGTTGGACTACAAGTAATAAATACTGTTTTTTGTTTTCTCTTTCTAATCATATTTCAAAAACATCACCTTCAAAATAATATGGAATTACACGCAAATAGCACTTCAACATCTCCCAAACTATTTTACAAACATTGAACAATACTTTTTACAAATTAATAGGTGTAAACACTAAATTATTAAAATAAAAATTAAAACTAAGAATGGTCAGCAATAATATATAACAATGGGCTAACTCACCGTGAGCAACAATAGGATGAATGAATGTCGACAAAGAATTGGTTGTCGTTCAACAACGACCTAATTTGCCATGGGAGAATAGGTTAAAGAGAAATAATTGGTACATTTTGTGATATAAAAGAATTAGTGAATTTAAAAATAATTTTTTTGAGTGCAGTGGAATTATATCATTTTATAATGAGTTTTTCAAATTTAAATTTGCATGTTAAAGGTGAGATTTAATTTTATGTGTTAAATATTTATTAGTTTATTAAGTGAGTAACACATATGAGAAAAAAATATTTGTTAATTGATTTAATAATTGACAATAACTAATTCTTGAATAACTTAGTAAAAACGCTCTTAAAAATGAGATTAGTTTTGGTATTATGAGGGATGTAATGAAAATTATGTTCTTTCAACGTTTTTAGTAAATATAAAAAGATATTAAGTATAAAAAGAAAAAAATTAAATTTCATTTAGATCATTAATTTATAAACAATTTTGTTACACACTTTTAATTGGGCTTGGATTGTCTCCAACTAGCCCATCTAGTTTGGGTTACTACGAGCCCATTTAGATCATAACTTTGGATCGTTTATTTTGTAGAATTTGCCGAGAAAATCATTTATACCAAAAAATTCAATTGATTTGATATTGGTAGTCATTTGATCGGATCACATTTATCTAAAAATACTATTCATTACTTTTATCTTTCTCTTTTTACAATTATAAATTTGATCAAGTAACTATTAACATTTAATTAATCTAATTTTTTATATAAATAGTCTCCTTAACAAGCTTTACAAAATAAACAGATTGCATTGTCAAAATGAGTGAGGTGAATAGACAATCAAGTCCCTTCATAGATTACACTAGTTGGACCCCACGCGTGTTGTAGTTATAATGCTTATTTAAGAAATTTCTGTATATACAAGATGAGTTCCTTTTCTTTATTTTTAAATTTTGTTCTTTTACTAACAAAAAATTTATTAATAAGATGAGTACAAACTGAGGACAGAAATACGATCAATTCAAAACAAGAACTATACTGCATATCTCCAACACAAAACAATCACAAAACTATAATTACCTCTCATTTAGTTTCCTTCGTATTAAAAATTAAGTTATTTGTTACCTTCCACAATGTCTATAGAATTGCAAAAAACACTCCCAAATGTTCCTTTCAACAATCAAGGCAACTAACTCTTCAACACCAGTGTGCCACCATCAACCATACCATTGCGACCCTTCCACCATTACATCAACGGTTATTAGCGCCCGTAGACTATAACCACTACTCCAACTCTAACCAAACATCACAACTGCTATTCCAACACAAGAAACGCTGATGCCATCCTTTCATAGTACTTCCAAACTACCAAAATCACATTCTTTAGGCGTCACTTCTAATAGCTACCAAAATCACATTCTTTAGACACCACTTCTAATAGCTTTACAGCAGAACATATGCGCTTACAAAATGCTGTATGCTTGAGTTTCTCATCCAATCATGCTCCGTGAAATGCATAATTTTGGTCCCACCATAATCTTTTTTCTAAAAAACCCCAATTACAAAATATATGCACTTTTTCCCTTAATATAGTAAGAAAACAACTCCTTTATCACAAAAAATATTTCCTAATTCCACCTAACCAAAAATTTGTTCTTAAAAATTTAAAATAAAATATTTTTAAAAGTTTTATTTATCAAGAAAGAAAAAAAAGTTCCTAAAAATCAAAACACTAAGGCTACGAATTCCCTAGTCTAAAGAAGAGCATCATTATCCTAATCTGTGACATTTTGGCCCTCCATTCTTATTGTAGTCCCTTCAACTATTCTCCTTTTGAAGTAATATTGATAGTTCTACAAAAAAATTACGTCTCCCACAATTTGTCTCATCCTGTCCCAAGATAAAGCTATTAAGAATCCATCTGTCAATTGTTCAAATTTTTGAAAGTAAGAACTAATTGAAACCCTCAGCTCTCAAATATCAACTTATAGACCATCTAAATATTAATAAATCCAAACTCTAAATATTAAATATAACTCTTATTTAACAATAATAATAATAAAAATAAAAATAAAAACCGTTTTTGACTAACCTTTCAAACAAAAGCTAATATGCTATTCATTACATAAATAGATAAAGGCTGAAAAAACATTGCATTTCATAACAGACAGTTTTTTTTTTTTTGAAATCTTAACTAATCAAAACATCTGTAACAGAGGTGGACTGCAATGACACAGCATCAACACTGGTTTTTTAAAAGTGAAATGATAGGAATAATAAATTGACTAGTGGAAATGTGAATTATCAAATGCAACTCATGTTAAAAAAGAACTAAACCAGTCTTGGTTAAGCACAGGAACCCAAAGAACCCAATTTGAGGTCTCAAAAGGGGCGTGAAAACACATAAGAACCCAAAGAATCCAATTCAATATTTAATGTGAAAAGAGACTCACAAAGTTAACATCTATGTGATCTTGAGATTGACACTACAAGAAACCAATTCAATATTTAATAGAGCAAAATATTGAACTGTAAGCAAGAAGCATTAAAACATCCTTCCAAGTACTTCAAATACCCAAATTATCTTACTCTCTTGTTTATGGAGATTCCGGAATAGATTAGCAAATTCTTATACCTGGCCAAGCATTACAGCTCCAATTCACAACAAAGGCTCTCATAGATTGAATTTATTTTGTATTGTTTAGCATAGACAAGGTTTTATTGCAAGTAATTGTTGAATATATATATATATATATATATGATTATGTTAGTGAGCTTTCAATTAGGGAAGCCCTCTAATTTTTTAGTCTGCATTTTTTTTTTCTTTCTAAAACACATGTATTGCCCTTTTAAGTAATTGACTAAAAAAAATTAAATTTGTACTTTCCAATATTTTGCTTCCCCAATCCTGATCTTATTTGGAACAAGGATTTGAGTATAGATTTGTGGAGACAAAGGAGAAACGTGATATAAGCTCTCTTTTTTTGTCTTGTCTTTTTTTTTTTTAATCATTTATAACTTCACTATTTTTTTGTGGAGACAAACTACCCACATGATCTAATCATTTATAACTTCACACATGATCTAATCATTTATAACTTCACTAAAGCCTTCATTCTTCAAACTACCCACATGATCTAATCATTTATAACTTCACTAAAGCCTTCATTCTTCAATGATTCAATATGAAAATCTTGTTGTTCAAAATTGTGAAATTAAATAAATAGATTTATAAAGAAAACAAATTATATACCAAGAACATATGCTCATAATTACAACTAAATTTCAACAGAAATACACAAAAAATAATAAAGGGTAAAGAGACAAAACCGAAGCCTGCACGGAAGCAGTTTCCTTAAAACAGATTTCGCCGCCTCACGGGTCGAGTGCTTGAGGAAACCCGGCGTCTGTCTCCCAGGATACGACGGTCAAAACCAGCTACGGCAGAAGCACTATCTGTCTAGCTTAGCGAACAAAACAATGGCAGCACTCTCTCAAAATAGGAATTATCAAACAAACTGACTTGTAAAATGAAAACAAAAATTTTTATATTGAAACTTGACAGGAGGGTCTCAATTTATACATGTATAGGGGAGAGAGGAAAAGCCTTCAGCCTTTAAGGCTAGTCATTAAAACACCAAGCATCCATAGTCCCTTTCTACAAAATGAAAAGTATGGATGCCCAAAGGATTCACACCCTTTAGCCAAGAAAAAAGATTTAAATACTCTTTAAAATTCTATTCATGAATCTAACATCATGAAGCAATTTCTTGGCAATTTCTTATTCAAAACCCAATGATTTTTTGCTCACTTGGACCCAACACAAAAAATAGTTAGGACCACCTTTAATATTTAATTAAAGTCCCCGAAAATCATTTTTTCCAACAAATATGAACTGGCAAATCAGATAGTGAGAAAACCATGATAATGAATTTGGTATGATGGTATCTTTCCAATATCTTGGATAAGAATAATCATGGAATATATAGTCAAGTGATAGGAAAGTGATATATGCCGTAAGTTGTATGGTCAAGAATACTTAGACTATAAGACCTTGTCAAGCCCGTCTATTAGTCTGGCACCATCACCTTGTACAACAAATCAATCCAAATACTATATGCTCAGAATCTCAGATGTAACTATCAACAACTTTACATAACGAGATAACTATGTTTAAATGCTTATTATATGTAAAGAATTACTAAAACAAATATTTCTTTATACAAAGAAAATAAAGGTCATATAAATATATCCGCTTACTTAATTCCGAGATCAATGTGCTCCTGAATATTAAAGCCAAAACAACCAGTTTCACTGAAGTTCCTTCACAGCAACTTATATTCCTTCACCTTCAATCCACTCTCCAGAAGTTGCATTGCCTTCTCACCTGTGACTGACATAGCAAGCAATCTTCTCATTACGCCTGATCCCATATCTCGCTGTCAACCAGAATAAACCAAATTAGAAAATTACACAACAAATCACATAGCCCACTTATTAGTAGCCAAAAAATTGAAACTTCAGTTTCTAGTAGGTTCAATTTAAATAAAATAAACCAATTGAACTAAGTCAAATGCTTTGTTTTAAGCTCTATTTAGCAAAGGCTACTAATTTTCATTACAGATTTGATTAATTTACACATTCAAAAACAAAACTAACAGTCAAGTCTTTTTAATTTTTTTTGTTTCCTTTCATTTCCTTGGCAATCAAACATAAAGTAGAAGCTTAAAGGTGTTATTTAGCTAACCACAATATGAACAAGTTCAAAATTACATTTCATTAGCAAACAATTACAAGATAGGCTTAAACTTATGAGAATTTCAATATCTCATACTAATTTTTTTGATTGAATTAATTAATTTTTGTATAAGTTAGTTAGTCTTTTGACCTAGCCAATTATGTCGAACTATTTCCGATTTGACTGATTCATTGGTTTAATAGTGATCTTAGCTGCTTTATCAAAATATATTGGTTTAGATTTGTTTGATTCGAAATAAACTAAAAATTGACCTAATTAAAGATTAAATGATTGATATTATTTGATTCAAAATAAACTTTCCACCCGATCAATTATTAATTTTTATTTTATATAATTCCACATCGGAAAAAGAAGGAAAAAATGACTTATTTCAGTTATAGAAAATAAACATATGCTACTATTTAATATTGTAGTTTTGTGCATATTTCAGTTGAAAACAGTATAAATTTTAAAATAAAATAAAATAAAAAAATTTTAATTAATTAATTTTTGTGTAATTTAATTGGCCTTTTGACCGATTTTAATGATTTTATCAATACATATTGTTTTATTTCTAAAAGGTTATGTCTAAGTTTTACGACAAACTTTAACATAGAATAAACTAAAACTAAAAAATTCATAAAATGAAATTTATTTTTATTTTATTATAAATATAAATTTATTTAATTTATTCTATTATTTTCATCTTTATTAATTAAATTATGACATTTATTTTTTTATTGTGAACTTAAAATATACAATTAGTGACATAACAACTGCAATATATATATATATATATATTATAATAAAATTGTTAAAATTTAATTCATTCTAAAATATTTTTCTATACATTTTAAATAAATTTTATATTATTATTTAATTTTAAAATTATTTTTAATCATTTATTTAACTCATGCATTTCATAAGTTGATATGGTAGTTAGGCTACGTGTGGCATCATCTTTTTGGGTTAAAATAATCCCAAAAAAATAAAATAAAATAAAATAGATTTTTTAATTCAATAAGACAAAATATCACATTCAAACCATAATCATTTCATTTTTTCTCTCATAAAAATCAAAAACTTATTCTAAACGAGACTTTTTAACATCAGGCCAAAATAGCCAAAAAATTAAAAAATTAAAAATCAACTCACATCTCAAACGAATGCTTAATATGACTCAAATAAATGTATTTATTTATAGGAGTGTACACGGTTCGGATTGGTTCGGTTCTGAGAAAATCCAAGAATCAAACCGATCCTAATGATTCTGTGATTTTGAAAACCAGATCAAACCATTACACTTGTAAAACCGGATTAAAACCAAACCGAAATAACGGTTCGGTAGCGGTTTGGTTTACGGTTCTAAAAATTTCTATTTATAAGAATAAATTATTAATATTAGCAAAATAATTACTCAAACTGATTACATTTAACACATGATAAAAATTAATAATATTAAGGTATAACTCAACATTACATATCTATACCATCTTAATATTATTAAAATTACAAAAAATCAATTAATAAAAATAAAACTTGATATGACAATATTAAATATTATATATACATATATTTTATTAAATAAAACTTACGCATGGTTCAAGGACTGCTACTGTTTATTAAATGTCATATATATATATCTTTTAAAATTCGGTTCGGTTCGGTTCGGTTCAAATCAAATCACGATTTTGTTCATAAAATCCATTAACCGAACCATTTTTACGGTTCTCAATATTTCTTGAACCGAAATCAAATCGATTCTTAATAGAACTGAACTAAATTTACGATTCGATCTAATTCAATCTGAATTACTGATTCGAACTAATTTTTAAACAGCCCTATTTATTTAGGATGTGAAATAAATTCTTAATTTAAGAAATTAAAAAAATCCAGTATAGAGAGAGAGAGAGAAAGAAAGAGAGAGGGGGAGAGGTATGTATCTTAAGATGGATTCTGGATCCTCTCCAGCCAAAGGCTCCCTCCTGTTCTCCGGTCAAGAGCCATGATTTGGCCATGTGGCCCTTTGGCTGGAGAGGATCCAGACTCCTCACAGTTCGACTTTGAAGTGTGTGTACTAGCTTTCTTTCTCTCTATAGTGTTGGTCTCAGCTTTCGTACGTGCGGAAGGTCGCGGTTCTCACGTGCCAATCCGCTTTGCTCTCATTGGATGTAGTGATGCCCTTTTAATTCGAGCATCTATTACTCTCTTGCACTCTCTCACTCATCACACACATCTCTCTCTCTCCTCACAATCTCAAATCTATACATTATCTATTATATAAGGAAAATGAACTTTTAGTAAGAAGCTTTTTAGGAGTTTCAAATTCTCATTTTAATTTTTTTGATTTTTTTAATTTTAAATAATTATTTTTATTTGATAATTTCACATCGAAAAAAGAAAGAAAAAAATGAGTTATTTTACTCATATAAATTCTTAATTTTAAATAATTAATTTTATTTGATAATTTCACATTGGGAATAGAAGGGGGGAAATGAATTATTTTACTTATATAAATTCTTAATTTTAAATAATTACTTTTATTTGATAATCCCACATCGGGAAAACAAAGGAAAAAAAAGGAGTTATTTTACTAATGTAAAGAGAATCTTATACTCACATTCCATTTAGTGAGAAACCTTATGAGAGTTTCAATATCTCATACTAATTTTCTTAATTTTAAACAATTAAGAAAATCTCTATTGGCTAACTTTTATTTGATAATCTCATATCGAGAAAAGAAGTAAAAAGTGAATTGTTTAGGTTGGGATAGTTTTTATCGTAGTTTAGGTTGATGGTTCACCAAACTGTACGGTGAAAATATGTCTCTTTAATAAGAGGCCAACTTATATAATTTAAAGGTTTTTTTTAATAATTAATGTTATTGTTATTATTATTATTATTATTATTATTATTATTATTATTATTATTATTATTATTATTATTATTATTATTATAAAGGACAAATTACATATACCCCCTCGAGGTTTAGCAAAATTACAGATACCCCCTGAGATTTGAGAAATTACAAATACCCCCCTGAAGGTACTATTTGCATAACAAATTAGGGGGCAAATTGTTATAAAAATACAAATCTCAGGGGGCAATTTGTTATGAAAATATAAACCTCAGGGGGGTATCTGTAATTTTCGAAACCTGAGGGGAGTATCTGTAATTTAGCTAAACCTCGAGGGAGGTATATATAATTTGCCCTATAATTAAAAGGGTTTCAAAATTTGGAGGCCGTCACTCATTTTCTTTAATTGGGTCTATCTTGTTTGCATGATTACAATTAATTATATTTTTAAAACAATATTTTCCTCCAAATGCAATGATGCAAGTTAATTCCACAATTATGACCACATGGATGACAATGTAACAAGGCACATGTTGGAGAGGAGAAGAGGTCAGTTGATTGATTTTGATTTATTTTCAATTTTTATTAGCAACATTCTGAACAAATTAAAGTTCGATTTACTTTGAGCGAAACTATCATTTATAATCACGTAATTTTATCATATTTAATTTTATAAACAGATCATATATTTTTATTTAAAAAAAATATATTGAAATCGCATGAACATGACTTTAGCATGAGTTTGACTTCTTTTTTTTTTTAATATGCATATGAATTTACAAAATGATCGAGTATGATAAATTCACCAACCTAAACTATGCCTCTCTAATTCTCGTTGGCTAGCTTTCATTTACCTTTTATTTTACAATCCCACATCGAAAAAAGAAAGAAAAAGTGAATTGTTTTTCACTTACATAAAGTGAATCTTATACTTCCATTTATATAAACAAAATGAGTTTTTTAGTGGGAAGCCCTACGATCAATATCTCATACTCATTTTTTTTTATTTTCTTAATTTTAAACAATTAAGAAAATCCCCATTAGTTAGTTTCTATTTAACTTTTATTTTACAATTCTACATAATTTTGATTTTAAAAATAATTTTGTATGAGATTTTGAAACTCTCATAATATTTAATTTTAAAATAATTTCAATTTCACATCGAGAAAAGAAAGAAAAAGTGAGTTGTTTCACTTATATAAAATGAATCTTATAAAGGGGAGTTTTAAGAGAGAAGTCTTCTAGAAGATCCAAACTCTCATTCTAAAATTATTGAATTTTCTTAATTTTAAACAATTAAGAAAATTCCTATTGGCTAGCTTCCATTTACCTTTTATTTTACAATCCCAAATCTTTTAAAAAAAAGAAAAAAAGAAAAAAGAAAAAGTGAATTGTTTCATTTACATAAAGTGAATCTTATACTCTAATTTATACAAATTATTGAAATTTTTTAATTTTAAACAATTAAGAAAATCTTCATTTGTTAACTTCTATTTAACTTTTATTTTACAATCCCACATTGGGAAAAGAAAAAAAAATGAATTGTTTCGTTTATATAAAGTGAATCTTATACTCCCATTTATATAAGCAAAAGAAAATTTTTAGTGAGAAGTACTATAATCAATACCAATTTTTTTTTTATTATTTATGTTTAAAAACACATGTACAATACTTCTAGCATATCACCCATGCTATGTGAAGGTGTTTTTGTAAACACAATTCAATTTGCAATCCAAAGTGCATATTGTAGACACCCCATTTTGACTGGCCCTAAGACTTGGGCGCTTTCTTTTGGTTACCCGATGATAACAATTAGAATGCGTTTCTCACAAAGTCCTCAATAA